GAGTTGCCACACCACCTTTTCCAATAACTCTCATTTTTCTCCATGAGTATGGTATTAGTTTCACATACATACATACATACATATGTATTTCCATACCAAGCTTGAGTGCTTTACCCCAAACATTTGAAGAGATATGCAATATGAAACTTTCAGTCAGTATGGGAGGTGCTACGCCTCTTTTCCAAAAACGTCCATTTTTCTCCGTCAATATGAACATGATTTCACAGTGTTGGCAAACTGTTAATCTGATTAACGATTAAAAATTAACGATTAAAATGTTAATCGCGTTTGACGATTAAAATTAATTAGTCGTAATCGCTGGCTACGATTACGTTTAATTAATTTAAAACATTAATCGTTAATCAAATTAAAAATAAAATCTGATTAATTTGTCTAGTTTGTCCGAGTTTGAAACCAAACACCAGTTATAGTAATTATTTCGTGTTTTACGCTTATAAAAAGCACATAATATAAAAAGTTATAATTATTGTTATTAGTAATACATAAACTGGGAACTTTTACAAACCTAGTTTGTAAAACGCTTGTTGGTATATATCTTAATGAAAATGCACATCAAATTGCTTAGATTAGCCATACCGGATTAACTTGCTTTGTGTGCACAGGGAAATTCCACCATAACTTAATTAATCACCAAACCTACTTGATCAAATTAAGAGTTAACGATTAAAAATTAATTTTTTAATCGCGGTTACTATTAACTGTTTCGTCAGATTAAAATTAATCATGATTAACTGTAACCAGATTGAATTAATCGAATTACCTAACTGATTAAAACATCAATCGATTAATGCCACCACTGATTTCACATACATATCACTATACCAAGTTTCAGTTCTCTCCCACAAATACTTCCAGAGATATGTATGTAATATGAAAATTCCAATTTGTATGGGAGGGGCCTAGAGTTATCGGACTTACTTTCAGTCTAAGACCATCCTTCCGAAATCCGTAGTAAGTGTACTAAATTTCGTTCTGATCGGGAAATCGGTTAAGGAAGTAGCCTATTTTTCAATCCAGGCCATGGACCATCTTTTAAGAAAATTTAATTTTCAAACAGGTGGCAATTCTTTACAAAGTCGCCTATTTTCCAGTCTAGGTCATAAGCTATCTGTGTGCAAACTTTCATGCAAATCAGTTCAGTCATTTACGCGTATTAATTTAATTAATCTTTCCTAATACGTGATAACTCTTAAAATATAGCCTATTTTCCAACATAGGTCATAAGCTATCTCTGTGCGAAATGTCATGCAAATCTGTTCAGTCGTTTCCGCGTATTAATTTAATAAAAAACTTTTTTAACAGGTGGCAACTCTTCCAAAAAATTAGCCTATTTTCCACTGTAGGTCATAAGCTATCTGCTTGCAAAATTTCATGAAAATCCGTTCAGACTTTTCCGCGTATTAATTTAATTAAACTTTTTTAGCAGGTGGTAACTCTTAAAAAAAGTAGCCTATTTTTCAACCTAGCTCATAAGCTATTTGTGTGAAAACTTCCATGCAAATCAGTTCACTCATTTCCGCGTATTAATTAAATTAAACATTTCTTACAGATGGCAACTCTTAAAAAAGTAGCCTACTTTCTAACCTAGGTCAGAAGCTATCTGTGTGCGAAATTTCATGCAAATCCGTTTAGTCGTTTCTGCGTATTAATTTAATTAAACTTTTTTAACAGGTGGCAACTCTTCCAAAAAATTCACCTATTTTCCACTGTAGGTCATAAGTTACAGGGAACGGATTTTTAGGACCTAAGAACCTATAAAAAAGGCAAAATAAAATAAAGAAATAGGCTGGAAAAGGCAAAATAAAATAGCGAAAAAGGCAGGAAAAGGCACTAGGTGTTGCAAAAAAGGCAAAAAAATGCAAAACAAAATAGCGAAAAAGGCAGAAAAAGGCACTAGGTATTGCAAAAAAAAGCTAAATATGGCACTAAAAAAAGACAGAAAATACAAAGAACAATCAAAAAATACATTTATTTTAGAAATGTTTATATTACAAGTAAAAAGAGAAAAACTATGAACTAGTTTCATTATATGAAAAATTTGTACTTTGAATCTTTGACTATTTTATCCTTTCGAGTTTCTAACTAATAAAACTTTAATCTGTATAGTTGTAGTAACATTGAACCACAAGATGCATTTTGAAGTTTTCTGGCAGCATTTTCATTTGATTTTCGCGAAGAAAAGCCTTGAATGTACTAAATGTGCGCTCGACGTAAGTTGATGCAAATGGAGCCCAATTTAAATATGGAACGTTTGAAACGTTCATATTATCAGGAATAAGGGCGTTTTCCTCGCCCTTTACGCTTAACGCTTCTATAAGCCGCATGGGCATGTGTATATTTTTTAATCTTTAAAAAAACAATTGTAAATGCTATAATCACTTTTTAAAAGGTAGAAAACGCAAGAAAAGGCAAATATCTTAAAAAAGGCAAAAAAAGCCAACATCAAATGTGTATATATGGAATCAG